CAACATGTGCATGTACTTCCTGCCAGCCACTGAACTAACTGTTAATTTTAAAATGGTTACTTCTGTTATATGCATCTCACCTCAATATTTTAAAATAAGAAAAAAAGACATAAATATATAATTCTCAAAATGAAGACACAAAATGCCCCTTAAACATATGAGAATGTTCAACTTCACTCATAAGAGAAATACAAAATAAAATTATGCCAATATACAATTTCCCACCCATTAATTAGACTGGAAAAAAGTTCAAATGCTTAATAATATATTATGTTTGGGAAGGCTGTGAAAAAACAGGCATTTTCATACACTGTTAGAAAGACAAAACCCATATAAAGTATGTGGCTATAACTGTGGCAGAAAGTCACTAAAGTAGCACCCACTTCCTGGTGTCCACGCCTTTTTATAATTCCCTCCCTTTGAATGTGTGCAGGACCTATGAGCTGCTTCTAACCAACATATGTCACTCCTGCGACTATGTTACATTATGAAATACTCCATTTGGAGACTGCTAGCTCTAGACTTTCCACACTGGCTTAATAAAATGGCCATTTGTGAAAAATCCGTAAGATACGGAACTGTGAGGCCTCTAGGAGAGGAAGCAAGTTTTCAGCCCAGTCAACAAGAAGCCAGGACCTACAACCACAATGGAATGAATTCTGCCACTGTGTGTGAGCTTGGAAGTAAGTATTTCCACAGGCAAGCCTTCAGATGAGAACACAGCCCAGAAGACACCTTGACTGAAGCCATGGAAGACTTACACAGAGAACGCAGTCAGGCCTTGCCCAGACTTCTGACCCACAGAAACTAAAATAATAAATGTGTGTTAGTTTAAGACTGTGGTAACCTCTTACATGGCAGAGGATAACTAACACATGAATCAAACTACACACACACCTTCACCTCTCAGATGCAGCAATCCCACATCTAAGAACTTACACAGAAGACAACCTCCAGCAACGCAAAAATACACATAAATAGGTTGTTAATTGTAACATTACTTATAATTGCAAGATACGGCCAGCTACTTAAATAACCAAATATGGCAGACTGGTTGAAGTAGTCTAAAGCTGTTTTAAAAAAAAATGGCAGAGGAATTGAAGAAGATCTCTATGACATGTAGCTATTTCTAGGATACATCATTAAATGAAAAAAAGCAAAGTATAAAATAAAATATATAGTATGCTACATTTTGTGTATGAAAAGGCGTGCTTAAACAGATCTGCTTACTTTCATAAGAAACAAGGATAAACAAGAAATCAATGGTACTGATTACCTACATAGAATGTGGGACTGGGGGTAGGGGGTGAAATGAAGTATAGGAAAAGACTAGAGGAGGAAATGAGTTTTTCTGAGTATCTCTCTTTTTTCTAGGTTTATCTAGTTGATAGTCCACAAATAAAAAATGAAATAAATCAACAAGAATGAAGTAGGAGATGAGGACAAACAACCCTAGAACTGAAAGTAAACAGAAACAAATCAACTAAATGTACTGAATTTCAAATTAAAAAAAAAAAGAAAAATATAACCACACTTTGGGGATGAGGGGGCTGAAGGGAAGCTAATATAAATAGTGGAAAATGTTTTTATTAAGTACTCTTGGTTTAGGAAAAAAAATGGCTTACAAATCCTGAACTCCTTTTCAGTAGTTCTGTTTTTCATAGTTGTATGGAGGTAGCAATTCTGCAACGACTGTTTGTATTACAGGACTGAGTAAAATGTATTGATGTTGTCAGAAGCCAGAGTCCTCACTAGGTAAAAAAGCAGACAGAGAATAGGAGTAGCCAAGAAACTCAACGGGGTTGGACTGGAATTGGAGGTATTGCTATGACTGCATGATTTAAAATGTGTGTGTATGTGTATACGTTCCATCTTGGAGTTACCAGTATGAACTCACGATTTCCTGTGTGTGTGTGTGTGTGTGTGTGTGTGTGTGTGTGTTCTGTCCACTGAAAGCCTCAGAAGCAATGACACCTTATTAACAATGAACATTCCAACTGCCAGATCTTGGTTTCTATAGACCTTTCCACATTAAAAGGAACCAGGTCTTTAAAAAAAAGTACCCAATTCCAGTACCGAACTAGAGAAGACACAAGACATGACTGAAGTATCTTCCTGTGCCAGAAAGCACTCAAAAAAAGAAAGAAAAGAAAAAAGAAAGAAGAAAAAGGAAGGCAGCAAGAAAATAAAAAAGAAAAAGATTAGAGTATGCCATGCCAAAAGGACACAGCAGTCAACTGAAGGGACTCCTCTTGGCCAAACCTGAGGCAATTTGAAATTTAAAAAACAACAGTAATAGATTATAACCATCTAATATAATTGAATAAAATAAGAACCAGGAGTCCTTCCTGATAAGAGTTAAGACACAAAGACATAGTAGAATGCTGACTGATAATTGTAGTGTTAGACAGTCACCATTCCACAATCATCATAGCACAGGTTAGTTCATGAAAGAATCATCAATGGATGATAATTCTAAGGGGGAGAAAGTTTGAGAAGTAGCAAGATATTAATTGCATTGTCTCAAAGTGTATTCCCAGAAACTGCTTGTAAGTTGCAAGAAGAAAAGCGGTAACTAAACAGTGGTGAAACCAAATAACATCTTGAGTGAGTGATTAAAATGAAAATCATCATCGATAAGCTGATAAACACTGTATGTCTCTGAATGCGGAATCCTGAAAAGAATACAACATTAATTATGTATTATTTTGAAAAAGGACATATATTCTAGATGTAATCATGAAGAAATGTCAGTCAATGTCAAACTGAGGAATATTCTATAAAGTAACTTCCTTGTATTCTTCAAAAATGCCAATGTCATAAAGTCAAAAAAAAAAAAAGGGGGGGTGGTGCACCAAGGAACTATTCCAGATTAAAGACCAAGACATTAGGTAAGAAGGCAAGGTGACACTGAAGCAAGATGCTCTCTATGCTGCAGCTGGTTCTGAAGTTCGGGGAAGGGGCCCTTAGTCAAGGGAATACAGGAATGCAACTCCAGAAGCTGGGAGAAGCAAGGAAACATATTCTAACCCAGGGTTTCTGGAAGGAGCTCAGTCCTAATGATACTCTGATTTTAGCCCAGGAAAACTAAATTCAGACTTCTGATCTCTAGAATGCTAAGAGAATAAAATATGTTGTTTTAAACCCCCAAAAATAACAAAGAAAAAGACTAAGACATTATAATCAAATGTACTACAATATCCTGGATTAAGTTCTAGATTGGACAGAAAAATAAGTGTTACAAAGGACATTATCAGGATAACTTATGAAATTTGAATATAGACTATGAATTAGAAAATAGTATTCAAAGTTAAATTTCTTTTACCGTGGTAACTCCACTGTGTGTACATAAGAGAATAAATATCACTGTTCTTAAAAACATGCACATAAAGTTGGGGAAGGAGAGAAGTAGCAAAAAGAAATAATAAAGCAAATGTGAAAGGTTAGGAATTGATGAATTTAGATAATCGAGTATATGGGAGCGCTCTGTACAATTAAGCTATCTTATCTATAATTTTAAAGTTATTTCAAAATAAAAAAAATTTTTTTAAAAGAAAGACACACAGGTACTGAAATTTCTGGAAGGATATATCAAACCTAAAGAGGTCAATTACTGAGGAGGGGAAGAAGATGAGGAAAAGGAAACTGTCTACAAAGACATTTAAATGACAGACTGAATTCCATCCAGTGGTTCCCCTTAAACATACAGTGTCTAAGTCAGGGGTTCCTAACCGGACATTCATGAACCCCTAGCGATATGGAGAGAATTCACTAGATCTATGTAGGGGATAGGAAGAAAACTACATTTCAGTTTCACTTACCTTTACCTGATACCCTCCCCCCCAATTATAAATGCAGGCAACGAACAGTACCTGTGACTTTATCAACAATAGAAATCACATACATTCTCACTTCATATTAGTGATTAAAATCCTCAAAATAACATATGTACTGTTCAGTATTTTAAAATGCAGTTAACACTTGCTGCTAGATTTTAATGAGATAAATGATTTTTTAAAACAGCAGGTTATATCACAAATCAGCTTTTTAAGTTTTTAATAACTGTATTTCAAAATAACTGGTTTCTTGATACTCCTATGTATTTTATCTTATACATGTATAGTTTTTTAAATGACATTTTCTTTTAGATTTTATTTATTTATTTTTAGAGAGAGGGAAGGGAGGGAGAAAGAGAGGAAGAAAAATATCAATGTGTGGTTGGTTGCCTCTCATGCACCCTCAACTGGGGACTTAGCCTGAAACCCAGGCATAAGCCCGGACTAGGAATCAAACCAGCAACCTTTTGGTTCACAGGCCAGCACTCAATCCTTTGAGCCACACCAGCCAGGGCTATAAATATTTTTATCCTCATCTGAGGACATGCTTATTGATTTTAGAGAGAGGAGAAGGTGGGGGAAGATCAATGTGAGACAGCAACATAGATCAGCTATCTCTCACACACTCCCCAACCAGGGACCGAACATGCAACCCTGGTGTGTGCCCTGACCAAATCAAACCAGTGACTTCCAACCAAGTGAGCCACACAGGCCAGGGTCATCTTAAACATTTACAAATGTTATTCTTATGGGCTTCAGGCTGTTCAAGAGTGTCATGACCAAAAAAGTGAAGAAACTCTGCCCTAAGCTACTGACCCCTCATTTGCTTACAAGTATGTCATAATGAGGAAAAATCAAACAGTTTACAGCTTTTTGTTCTGACATAAAGCAAATTATAAAGACATCATTGATAATGAACATTCGATCTAACCCTTTCATTATTTAATTTCTAATTTCCCATATGTGCTAGAGCAATAACTATCCAAATTAACTGCAACCTCACACAAAGCATCTAAGAACAAATAAACCATCATACACCCACACATAAAAAAAAAATACAGGCACACAGTAACTATAAAAATTAGTCAAGACTGAAATGTCTCATAGAGAAACTCAGTGCTTACATGTATTAAAGAAATTGGTTAAAAACAAGATACTATTTACCATCTCTCTTTTGGAAAATTTTTTAAAATTTCTTTAATGATTGGCTGGTAACAGGCATCCCTTTCTGCTTTCCCAGTTTCACACCAGTCTCGTACAAACTGTTTCAATGTGGATTTTAACTTATCCATGTCAAATGTAGATGCTGGCATAATCTTTCCATTCCCCTGTTTAAAAACAAGAAATCAATTAGTTTCTGAGAAAAGTAATCAATCCTGAATATGGTTAAACAGACATGCTACGAAGGGACTATATAGAGGGATTAGTGGATAAATCACTGGCCTCTCACCTCAACAGGTTTCAAGTGCAGCTTCAGATCCTAAATGAAAAGTTTGGTGGTCTCACTTTTACCCTCAATAGATTATGGTCCATTAATCATGAAACCACCATATAATTAAGCAGTCTTTACTCAGAAGAGGACCAGCACTGAGCTGCTATGGAAACCGAACATTCTCTAAGAGAGAGAGAAGAAAAGTCCCTCCAGGTCACTGATGGGGCAGCATGGAGAGGCTTACAGTGGAGTGGCCCAAATGTATCTATCCTGTGGATACAAAAAGAGGACTTCAGTTTCTATTACTGCCAGTCCCTTGAGATTTGTAAGTGAAAATAATTTCTTAAAAAATGACTTATCAACAGATATGACAAACTGGAAATAATGAGTTTAGTAAGGGACATTCATAAAAATTTACATCACTAACTCTATATGCCAGAACACTACGTGAAAGTGTATCAAAATGCCAACAATTAACTTAGTATTTAAAGAAAAAAATCAGTGAACAAATCCAGTTTCTGTCATACTGTTCTATTAAGCCTAATCAAATGACTGAATATAGAGGCGAGAACATTCTGAGATCAAATGCAAAGTTATAAAAATGAAATCCAGAAAGATAAGACTACAATATATTGACAGTAAACTTAATAACAAATGGAACAAATTTCACATACATTTTCTCCATATTCTTTATTTTCAAACATATGTATGCAATCATTCACAATGGTCAGTAGTATTTCTTGATTATGATCAATGCATTTCCGGATCTTGTCCAAGTGAAGAAGAAATTGAGGAAGTAGTTTCTGTTGATTAGCTGGAAGTGATCGAAACTGTCTTTCTGTTCGGTTCACTCGCTCATGCATACTGGTGCTAAAACATAAAAGGTGTTTTTTAAAATGGCAAAAGAATTCTCTGCAGAGACCAATCTTATTTTAAGATTGTCTTTCTGTACAATTATTCCCTTTTATAATGATGGATGCTATCCTGTCACTTACAATCTTTTGCTTTCTTAAAGGATATCCACTTGGAAAGTTTTATGTTTTCACCTTAGCAGAAATTCCCTAAGCAGCCAAACAAAAGACAAATTGTTTGTAACTAGTAAAAGTAAACACCAACTAGAAGAGAGGGGAAATATTAAAGAGGACTACTGTATAAGTTTATTTTCATGACTTTAATTTCCAAACTTAAAATTTTCAGCAAAACTAGCTGAATGCTTTAGATTTCTCCATCAAGTAACAGAATGTTGCTCTGAAATTACCTTAAGAATTGATACAAAATGTGTTTTGAAATAACTAAGAGCCAACCAAGTTGAATTTTTCAAAATATCATAAAAGATTTTATATACTATAAAAGTAGTAAACAAATTAAAAATTGAAGTTCTATAGCCTTTTACATGACAATATTCACACCTGGCATTCCAAAAGTTTCCAAATAACTCTAAAGGTCACTTTGGGGACTACCTATTTATAAAATTTGGAAAGGAAAATATTTTCAAAAGTTAAATATTACACTCACAATAAAATGCCAATTTACTTCACTTATATGGGCAAAATTTAAAAGCCTGTTTATCTGAAATGTTGGTAAAAAAGGTGGAATAAGTAGAATATTTTTATACTGATTGAAGGTAGGTGTATAAATTAGTACAAATACTTTGGAAAATAACTTAGCGTTGTCTAGTAAAGCTTCATATGCATATTCCCCATGACCTAGCAATGATAATTCCTAGACACATACTCAAGAAACTCCTGCAAATGGTCACCATGAGACATGAACAATTGTCATCACAGCACTGTTAGAAATAACAAACAAAAAGTCTGGAAACAACCCAAAGGTCTATCACTAGTAGAATGAACAAAGAAAGTACAGTATAGTTACACAATGAAATGCAGTTGAATTAATAAATTATAGCTACACACAATAATATGGATAAAACTTGGGAACATAAATATTTGCTGAAATCTCAAGTGGTAGAAAAATAGGGTGGGGGAAAGGTAGAAAACTGTACTTGAACAATAAAAAATAAAAATATATAATGTATAATTCTATTTTATATAAAAATAAACAATATATTGTAGGAACTGAACACATGTAGAAAAACTACAAGGAAAGCAAGGAAACAAAAATTCAGGAAAGTGATGTTTTTTGAGGGAAAGGGGATAGGATAATGTTCTTTTTAAATATTGGGTGGTAGGTTCAAGGGTGTTCATTGCATCATTCTTTACATGTTACATACACAAACAAACAAATGTTTCTTTTAAAAGTTTTTTGGAACCCTGGGTGGCGTAGCTCAGTGGATTGAGCGTGGGCTGTGAACCAAAGTGTCGCAGGTTGAATTCCCAGCCAGGGTACTTGCCTGGGTTGCAGGCCATAACCCCCAGCAACCGGACATTGATGTGTCTCTGTGTCTCTGTGTCTCTGTCTCTCTCTCTCTCTCTCTCTCTCTCTCTCTCTCTCTCTCTCTCTCTCTCTCTCCCTCCCTCCCTCCCCTCTCTAAAAATAAATAAAATCTTTAAAAAAAAATAAAAGTTTTTTTGGCATTTACTTAGTATTAAATGAAAATAAAAATTTTCTTTTTTCATTTGGTTGTCTCAATCTCCCCAACCATCTAAATAACTCTCTCATTTTTACTTTTTGCCAAATAACTAATTTCTGAATAGCAATATTTAAAGAAGTTCTGATATAAACTTCGGACAAAACTTAAGCGAAAACCTGGGAATGTTTTTAGAAGCCCGGGTGTGGTGGTATTTGGTGGTGGGGGGTGGGGTCAGAGGCAATGTAAAAAGATTAAGTTGGCACTGACCATCTACACTGATGTTTGCTTTTTGCCCCCCACCCCCAACCTCTTGAGAGAGTGTAACAGTGGGCTCTGGAATCAAACAGATCTGAACTGAAATCCAGGTTATGTCACCTATTTGCCCTGTGACCCTTAGCAAGTTACTTCCATAGTCTGTGCCTCAACTGTTTTGTATACAAAAACATAAAAACAATGATGATGATGGTTAAAGAAGCTATCATGTATTGAGACATGAAATCTCATTTGGCACCTTTCTAGTAAAAATGTGGTAAAGCCCTGACCAGTGTGGCTCAGTTGTTTGGGCATTGTCCCACAAAGGTTGCTGGAAGGTCATTGGCTGGATTCCCAGTCAGGGTACATGCCTGGATGTGGGGTGGTCTCTGGTCAGGGCACGTGGGAGGAGCAACCGATTTGTTTCTCTCACACATCAATATTTTTCTCCTTCTCTCTCCCCCTGCCTTTCCCTCTAACAATAAATAAATAAAATCTTTTTTTAAATAATTTTTATTATTATTCTATTACAGTTGTTTTAATTTTTCCCTAGCCCTCCTTGGTGTTTTTAAAAATGCGGTAGTACTAAGAACAGCAGATCACTTGGAAGTGGTTAGCAATAGAGAATCTCAGGCCCTACCCAAGACCTACTGAAATGTAATCCATCTTTTAATGAGATCTCCAAATGATCCATATGTATACTAACGTTTTAGAAGCATTTGTAATTTTTCATCCTTATTAGAGGAATCTCCCAGGTCAGAAAAAAAAAGTTCTCAAGTGACTAGACGGGAAATGACTACAATGACTGTCCATCAGCTCATCTTAGCTATTTTCCAAACACTGGGCATCTAGATACTTTCACTTGTCTATATGATGAATTTCTTTTGTGTTCATATGTGCTTATATTTTGGGAGGAAAAATAACACAAACTCCCCAGAGAATTACCATCTCAGAAAGGACAGTATTTTTAAGTCTCTTGTACAAATTGATTTTCAGAAAGATTGTAGCAACTTACATTCCTGACACTAAAGGAACTATTTAAAGTGGCCACAGTATGTTTGTTAGGGGAACAGCAGAGTTGCAGCATTTACAATTTACTGTCACAGGTTAAACAGTCTTTTAATACTTCATTCCTGGTATTCCTGCACACTGGATGCCTCAAAAAGACCCTCTCACAACACCTCAGAACTCAACACATCCAAAGTGAATTTATCACATGATGTCCCATCAAAAAATCTTACACTTCTTTCTACGTGGCTGGTATCGATAAATGGTACACCATACATCCACTCTATTCAGAAATTAACAAATCTCATAGCTCACATGATCAGAAAGCTGGAGCAAGATCCTTTGATTCTACCTCACTCCTGTCTCCCAGAGATTACTGACAGGTCTGCTACCTAGGAATGTTATCCCCAACCTAACCTCTCCATCAGATAAATTCTTCTAAAATACAAGTCTCATTTTTGTCACTATTTAACCTCCATATTTCAGCATATGTAAAAAGCAACCAATAAATGTTCTCCATGAAGATTACTTATTTCCATGATAGCAGGGGAGTTAAATTCTGGACTGCTGTCAATTCCTGCTACAGAAGTAATACATCTACACAGAGCAGCATGACATGTAGCATATCCCTTAGCCCTTGGTTACTTAATGGTATGCCAAGCTATCCATAACATACAGACACAGCTACTCGCTTGATGTAAGTGAGATCTTACCAAAGTTGAGAAAAGAGTCCCATCCTTACTCACTTTTGTAATTGGTGATGCCTTCACTATTCTGGAAATGCTTACATTATGAGGAACAGAGTGAAGAAATAAAATGAAGTCACTAGAGTCAAGCTGCTAAATTACTAAAGTAAATTAGGCCAAGGTATGAGGAAATGACTTTATTCTTGTTTTAACTAGCCTGGGAACTCAAAATTTTGAACTTTCCAGTTTTGTGGTAATGCCTGGATATAGATGAGACCTCCAAATAACCCTCTAATCCCCTCTAAAGGACTCACATATCCAGACCACGTAGCATCTGTCATCCAGACGGCCTAACATCTGACTGATAACCACACTGGACCAATTCTAGTGCTAAGAATACAGGACTGATTATTCTCAAGAAGGCACATTTTACTCTAAGAACTCCTAACTTCTTCCTTCTTCGAAACACACCTGAGTTTTTGCCTAGTTATTTTTCCAGTTTGCAAACCTAAGACCTTTGAATAAGTATCATTTATTTCTAGCCAAAGCTTCTAAGCTCTTTCTGCCGGTTTGGCAACTATGTGCTCTAAGACAGGGGTGGTAAATTATGACCCCTTACTCCCAGGCCTGGCTACTTAGTCTGTTTTTGTAAAAGGGTTTTACTGGAACATATCCATGCCCACTTGTCCACATACTGCCCATGGCCATTAACCCACAACAAGGGCAGAGACCACCTAGCCCTGAGCTTAAAATATTCATTGCCTGGCTCTTTTTAAAAAAGTTTGCCTACCCAGCTTTAAAGGAATGTTTTACAACCTTCAAACTCTCCTTGGTTCTGAACTCAGTGGTTCAAACTATCTTGGTTCTGATAATGAGACCACATCTTCTGGAAGCGAAGGAGAGAAAGCAGTCAGGCAGCTGTCTTTCCTTAAGGGTATATATATCTCTCTACCTCCAGCTCTCTCTCTAGAAGGCTGGTCTGGACAGTGACTAAGTCGCCTTTCATCAGGGTTGTTCCATGGCTGGATCTGAGCCAAGGGCCAAGGTCACTGACCCATCCCTCTGCACCTGTTAAACTGCTCTAGAATTCCAAACAAGAAAGCATACTTTTTCAGAAGGAAAGTCTGCCTTAGTTCATGTGAAATGGTTATTAAACACCCAAGATTAAAAATTGTCATGCCAGTATTACTGTTTACTAATGCAAGATATAATTTTAGTAAACGATTTTGGATTTCAGGCCAGACACTAGCACAATGTGGTTGTATAGTCCTGGGCAAGTTACTCAACTCTTTACATACCTACCCCCTCACCAGTAAAAATGAGTTCTATGTCTCAATTTTTAAAATCTCACCTAACCTCTATTTCTAAAAGTAAAACAATTCTGACAAGATCTTTGATTTTTCAACTGTAGTATTTTCTACGTGGCTAGGTATCTTCATTCATAAGAAGAGTAGTATTTTAAGGCTAATGACAAGTTTTGCTTGACATTCATTACAATGCTGTCATCACTTTTACCTTAGAATATATCATCTAAGCCAAATCTGTAGAAAGCACAAAATTAGAAGCTCTGGAAAAAAATACATTAATCAAAAGGCATTTCTTGCCCTATGCCTTTAATCTAAATCTCCTATAGATTGACTAAGAGGCATTTAGCAATAAAACCAAATTCTGTGGCTACTAATACTGAGGAAATGAATTTTCAATTTTGTTAAGTTTTAATTTAGCCAGACGTGATTAGCAGCCAAAGTATTGGACGGTGCAGGTCTAGAAGATCATAAAATGTTGGAATGTAACAATCCAGTGTTTTCTGCTACATAATGCTCTCTGTAAACCTAATCCTTTAAGAGATATTTTAAAAAGTGTGTTTTTCATCATACACTATTTTCAGTCTAGAGATTTAAAGTGCTTCATCAGAGAGTACATTCAAATAAAAAGGATTGCTTTTTAAAAAATGAAATTTTCCTCACTGCCACATTAAACTGGTAAAGGGATGAGAGTATAGGAAACTGTACTGCAACCACTAGAACATGCACACAATCGCCCTTTTTTACACGCCACAGTTGAGTCCTTGATTGAGGTCCAAGTCCCTCTGCCTCCACACCAAAGAGGTTGATCTGATACCTAATCATATTAGTCCTAATCATCAAATTAGTCCTAATATTTTACAACTGGTTCTACACATTTTAATTAATTATGTCCATGATATTCCCAAGGCATCTTCCAATATTTTCTAGACTTTTCAATAGTAAAATACACCAGACTTTTTTGCATCCACCACTCTTACCTACCTAATGTCAGCTGCTTCCCCTGCCTGTATGGTTCTTTCAGGTACAATACTCAGATCAAATTCAATTCTCTGGTTGTCTGCCTTCCTTTCTCTGTTCATACTAAATAAAGTCCCCATACTATTAATTTTCTTTTGGGCTTCATAATTAATGCAGTCCACGGTTCCTATCCCTGTGCCTAATTAGGAAATTATTTCATCAAGGTCTATGAAATTCAAAAATTCATGTCATAAATGTAATCAGATTCTAAACTTTAAACTTTTATTAAGCAAGTTTCTAAATTCAAAATAGTAACATACTAGCTTACCAACTGGTCACAAATTGACAGATTACTTGGGAATGACAAATGTATTTCTTTGCTACTACCTGTCTTATTTGTTAAAAATAGAGCTTCAATAACTTAGGGCAAACACTGATGACATAAAAATAAATGAGGCTCAGTCCCTGCCCTTCAGGAGGTCACAGTCAAGCAATATAAAAAAAAAAGTCTGCATAAAGCACAGCAAAAGCCCATCTAGGGGAACAATTTTTCTTGCGTGGAATGTCACATCTGATTACAAGTGCAGACTCAGAACACGTCCCTCGGTGGACTCATCTCTTAACACGAATAAAATGCTACCTTTACCTGAAAATCTAGTTGACTTAAGTCCGCTTCAGATCTCGGAATTAAAACTTTATGGCTAACCTATTTTAACATCTATGTAGAAGTAGAATTTAGAAAGTTTAAAAGTCCTACCATTGTGCCCGGCTCACCGTGAGAATTTGGATTAACATTTGCAAAATAAAAGATCACAAATGTGGCTCTCACTACGCCTACGCTCAGGTCCCTCCTTAATTAGCAAATCTTAAAACATCCGGACCATCTCCTACCTCAATTTCACCCACCAAATAAAAACAATGAGCCGCAGCATTCACCGGCTCACCACAAATGTGCCTGTACTCTCACAGCACCACAGGGGGTGGGTTGAAAATCTTAGGCTATTCTCACAAAAATTGGCATCAGTTTGGGAAAATACGTTCCGCCGCATCCCACGTGGAGGTGAACTTGGGCTCTCCGTGCGTTCAGTTTGGAGACCATCGACAACACAAATCAAGCTCAGGACTGAACAATTTACCACCATCACCTTCCATCTGAAAAACTGTCACAGAATTTTTCCGGTCACTCCCCACCGACCTCAGAGCCAAGCCTTTAACGAGGGGTGCAAAGCAAGAGACCTAATGTGAATCGTGAGGTCAGAAGACAAGGGGTTGAGCAGCAGACGGCGAAGCAGACACGCGGATGTGCAGGGCCAACAGGGCTATAGTGGTGCGAGGTGACTCGGGGATCCCGAGGTCAGCTCGGGCGGCCCGGTACGGGAGTCCCGGAGGCGTGGCGGCTAGGGAGCGAGAGCAGGGGGCGCCCCAGTTCCGCCGCCGCAAGCCGCAGACGCCCTGACAGGCTAGGCTGGGGTCTGCCATGGGCTCCTTACCCGTAGTAGCGGAAGGCATTAATGATCTTCCAGAAGTGCTCGCGCTCGAGCCTCTCCTCCTCCTCCTCCTCCGTGCTGCGCGAGGGTACCGCCACCGCCGCCACCGAATCCACAGCGACCGAGCCCAAACGCCCGGCGGAGAACTGCACTTCCACCTCCTCGCTCCCGCCGCGGCCGCCGCGGCCCCTGCGGCCCCCGCGGCCGCCACCACCTCCCCCGCAGTCCTCTGGCAGCTGAGAAGCAGGCGGCGAAGGGCGCCGCCGTCGCTGCATAGCTGCCACGGCCCTCAGCCTGGCTCGCTTGCGTCTCGCCGCGAATGAAAGCGTGGTGGCGGCTGTTCGGCCTTCCTCTAGACACGCCCCCAGCTCGCGGCGCGCTCCGCCTCCGCCGCCCTCAGGCCACCATCCGCGCGGGGCTCCGCAGGGTCTTCTCAGCACCCAGACCTAGCGCGCATGTCCTCGCGAGGGTACGACGGAACGCCGCGGCCGCCCGAGCTCATTTGCTGCGGACCTTGAGCGATAGCGCGCTGACATCACGACGACGACACGTACAGTGGGCGGGGAAAGGGGCCGGGTGGGGGGTGGCCATGGAGGAATGCCTGGGGGGTGCCGTCCCAACACCTGCGAATGGCCTCGTGGGTGGGGTTCAAGAGCTTGTAAGTGCTGGGTTGTAGAACAGGCAACTGAAGTGCTAGTAGAGGAAGAAAGCCGAAAAAAAGTTAAGCTTAGATTAATTTATTCGGAGTTTTTATTTCACAGTATAGAAGGAAGGTCTTCCATTCACCCTAATTTAAGTTTTGATTCATTTCCTAAGATTAAATTAAATGGAGTAAGTTATTTCCCAAGAATAACATTAAATGCAAGTAGGGCAGCTGTTTCAGCGATCAGCCCAAAGAGAAATGGGGCGGGGCGTAAGTAAGTACTGGATAGAGTTAGGTTACTGCAGTTTCCTCATTTGCTGCCATCACCAGTCAGGGCCTCATTAGGATTTTCACAGGCACCTACACTTGCGGGTACTTGCCTTTGGAAGATCACTGAAGCGCACAGGGGCCCTAATGCCTCACCATTGGCGCAGCACTAGCGTCTAATGGTGGCCCTTAACAATGCCAGACCTCTCTTTACCTGCGTTCACTCTCCCCACTCCCCACCTATTCCTCTCTGGGCTAACAGCTAAACCAGCTGCCCTACCTGCATTTAATGTTATTCTTAGGAAATAACTTACTCCATTTAATGTAGTCTACCACCCAGCAAATCAGTCTTTCAAAATAATAGTGAAAGGAAAAGATCGTTTTATGCAGAAGAGTTAAACATACCCCAGGACCACACATTTTGTTTAAAAGATGTAATTATATTGAAAATGAAGTGAATTCTTATTTTCATCATTTAAATTAATTGAAATAAAAGGCAATGGTAAAACAAGTACTGTGGTTTTCTTTGTTAATACTACATTTTTATACAATTTTTATAATATCGAGGTAGGCAAAAGTAAGTTTACAGTTCATATGGAAAAGACATACAGGCTATAATTATTACAATAACTTTATTAACTCAAAAAATTGTCACAGTGGCACAGTGCAGTTAAGTACAATCTCATAAACGTTCAAATTGCTGGCCTTCATTCTTTACACATTCTGGTAGTCAACTTGCTGTATTCAGACACATTTTGGCATAGAGTTCTTACCTACTTTGCCCACCCCTGTATTTTAAAGTCTAATTATTGATATGTTTTTAATACTAATGCAATAATACATGGTTCAAAATTGAAAAAGAGAGTGGAAAGGGTTACAAATGTGAAGTTTCTTTACTCCTGTCTCTAACCATCCATGTCCCCTCCCCAGGCACAAGATACCAGTTCCTGGCCTACTTTTGCAGATTTTTTATCCAGTACCCATTTTTCTTTGAGACTGGTGTTTGGAAGTTGTGTGAAATTCTCATAATACTAACTGTTAGCAACACTGTTTTTATATACAACTGAAGGAGGGAGGTTTGGAACAGGGAGAACTCACCACTGAAATCCCAGAGCCAGCAATCAGGGAGATTCCACAGCACAAAGGACTTTTTTAAAAAAAAAAATGCTTCCCTCCCGCTTCAACCTTTATGTTATAATTAAATGTTTAATACCCTATCCTGAAACAGAGTTGCAATTTTCTGCTTCTGTTTATCTTACTCAAAATTTTGTATACTTTTATCTTTTTGTTCCATGTAGAAGAACTCCTTTCATTTCTTGTAATGCAGGTCTTGTGGTGATAAATTCCCTCAGGTTTTGTTTGTCTGGGAAAGTTTTTATTTCTCCTTCATATCTAAAGGATAATGAAAACTTGGAACACGTTGCTAATCCTCTCTGTATTGTTCCAATTTTAGTATACAGAGTGGGGCACAAGTAGGTTTACAGTTGTGAGTACATTAAACACAGAGTTTATCTTATCTTATTATTTATTAATTATTGTATTATTCCCCACACTAACAACTGTAAAGCTACTTTTGCCCCACCCTGTATGTGCTGCCAAAGCAGGCATTCCATTTTATTTATTCACACTATTCCTCAAATCAATTAATTTGTGGGTATCAATTTGCTGAAAATCTAGATTTAAAATGTAAAACTTGAAGATGGAATCAGGTCTAAGGAAGTGCCAGAATTCTACTCTCTTCCCAACACCTCTAGAAAAATCAGTTTTATTTGGGGGTTGGGGGGAGTTTAGCAGTTGGTAATGTTTCTTGCCCACTCTGGATGTTTCCATCCATAAAAAGGGAGTTCAGTCAAACAACACCTTTGACTTTCTCTACTCACTCTGCCTGGAGAAGATGGGGTGTCTCATTTGATTGGTAAGAGCAAACTACAGGGACTTGACTCTACTCCTGACCTTTTTTTCCTCTTAGGAGTAAACTGGTTGCAGTAAGCACAATTTCTTCTCTGTTTATTATGCCATAAAATCCTTCCCAACTGTAAAAGTTGTCCTGCTCCAGTGCTGCCTGTGACTATATGATTAGGTCTGACTAATTCCAGATGAAGTTAGAAGGCCCATTTGACTCTTACATTAGGATCCACTCTTTAAGGGAGGTTTTATCAGTAAAAAGGGATATTTTGACCACTATCTGTCTCTCCTTTGTCTAATTGCTCAATTTGTTCAGAATCTAGTTGGGAAATAGAGAAGTGTATTAACTATATTTTCTTATTTCCTGTATTCTTGATGCTCTACCATCTGGGGCTTCTCTGACTAGGGAGAGACTAACCCTTCCAGGGCTAGTTAATCTCTAGAGAGAGCAACCAAGTCCCCTGAACCTTTCATATGCAAACAGGCCAATCCAGAACCCACGACCCACAACCACCTCCTTAAACAGACTTTCACACATCAAGCCAATGTACCCCTACCCTAACCAATGCAGGGCAAGGCACCAGTTTGGGACAGCCTCTGCCCTCCAAAGTCTGCTGAAATTCTTCCAACTAGCCAATCCTAAATCTGCTAACTCTTGTCTTTCCTTTCCTGGGAAACCACTATAAAGGCTTGTACCCATGGTTTACTGTCACTCTCCCTGCCTCCTGGTGCTTCCTGCATGGCCCTGCATGGTGTGGTCCTACATGGTGTGGTCCTACATGGTGTGGCCCTGTCCTCTTGGGGACAGTAAGCAACTATCTTGTCAATGGTAGCTGTCTCCTGATCTCTTGGTCTCACCATGCCTGAATAATAATAAAATCTATATTTTCAAACTGTGAGTTATTATCAGGCCCCTCCAAATGCCCCGAACATATCTTCAGGAGATGATTCAAAATGTGACTTTATAACAGTCAATGATAGTATTTCCCCTTCTTTCTTGATGTTTTTGTTTTTAATTCAGTAAGATGGGAACAGAACTACTGAAAGAGCTGAGCTCCCATCAGCAACAATTTGCTAGGTCTTCATTTATTCTTAAGATTCTAACTATTGACTTCCTAAAGAAAAGTATCCAAGAATTTATCAGTCGATCTGCATCTTAAATGTGAAAAATTCTTATGTTCTGAACACAAGAGAAATGAAATTCATGGTCCAAGCTTTCAAGAAGCTTATGGTACAGTGGGGAAGCAAAACTAGAATATACTAAACAATTGAAATGATGTAGTGGGTTTATTTTATTTTATTTTATTTATTTATCTTTAGAGAGAGGGGAAGGGAGGGAGAGAGAGAGGGAGAGAAACATCAATGTGTGGTTGTTTCTCAAGTGTCCCCCACCAGGGACCCGGCCTGCTACCTGGGCATGTGCCCTACACAGGGAATTGAATAAGCAACCCTCTGATTCACAGGCTGGCACTCAACCACTGAGCCACACCAGCCAGGGCAAAATGATGTAGTGTTAAAATAGTATGGATTAAGTAAGGTGTAATAAGAATTAAGGAAAGGAAGAACAGTCTGAAAGTAGCATAGAGCTAAATCTCAAAGGATGATTGTACCTTGAATGGGCAAAGATATGGGAGTATTCTTCACAAACCAATTTAAATTGGTTTAAGCCAAAAAGGGAAAACAGGATTTATTGCTTCTTATTCTGAAAAGATCAGGTACAGGTAGGTGCAGAAGTTCAAATTACAGCATCAGGAATCTGTCAGTTGCTATTTCTAGCAGAGCTAAATAGAACAGCACTATTCTTTTCTAAAAGTTCCAAGGTCTGAGCAGGGCTCTCACTGGACCAGCTTGTGTTGTGTGCTCTTCATTGAACTGACTGCCCTGACCAAGGGGCTGTGGTTTCCGACTGGCCAGGCTTGTGTCACATGTCCACCCTACAGCTGGCTGTGGAGTCAGCCACATCCAAATCTATGGACTGAAGGTAAGGGTTTAATAGTTTCCAAAGGAAATTTTTGAGTGATGTTACCCAAAGGAAAAGTCAATTTTGGACAGAAAAATCACAATTTTTGGTGTACTGTGGAAATAATAATAAGCAATGTGGAGAGGAAGGCAAAGACCATTCTAATTATAATCCATATGAAGAAATAGGAGAAAACATAGTTCAACAACTCAAATGATATAAAATTATTAGAACCTTTAAAAATCAGGCAGAAGCGTTAGGGTGAGTCCCTAAGCCAAGAAGACTCATTTTAGATTCTGAAACAGCAGTGTGGTAGGATAGAAGTACTATAGAATGCTTAATGGGACAAGAGCAGGGGATAAACTGTTGCATGGAAAACCAGATGAGGAGATTGTTCGAATAATACTGAAATGGTGTGATAAAGATTTATGCTACATAATAATAGTGAAGGGAAAAGATTAAGGTAACTCCAGATGATATTTTCAAAGGAAGAAAAGGCAGAGTTGAATGAATATAGGGGAATGAATAAAGAGAAGAATCAAAAGGGATGACAAAGTTTATAGCCAGAGTTGCAAAAATATTACTAGTAGAATTTTTAAGGAATGTGGGTTTCTCCTTCCCCAATGTCCTCACCCCACAAGCCTGATTTTTTATCCTATGATTTTCATCGCTGGGCTGCATAAACTACCACTAGAGTTTCTAAGCACCAAAAGA